CCCTCTCCGATTGCAGCTGCCAGTTTAGGACAGGTTTACAAAGCCCAACTCAAGTATTCTGGTCAAATTGTAGCAGTCAAGGTGCAACGTCCTGGTATTGAAGAGGCTATTGGTCTCGACTTTTATCTCGTAAGAGGACTTGGGTTACTCATTAATAAGTATGTGGACATAATAACCAGTGATGTTGTTGCGCTCATTGATGAATTTGCCCGCAGAGTTTATCAAGAGCTCAACTATGTGCAGGTTAGGTTCTTTTTTATTTTATTTTATTTTTTATAGAATATTGTATCTCTTCTTCATTTCTGGTTATATCATTTAATAAATTAATGGAAACTAATTCATTGATCTATTACATACAAGTTTCATCATTTCATTTATGGTACAAAAAGAAAGTTATGTTTTCTGTAAGAAATTATGCATGATGGCTTATTTGTTGTACTTATTATTCATGAATGTTGCCCAAGTTGTTATCATCATTGACTTTGGCAGCTAGCAAGTCTTCTGATAACATGGTATAATGTGTGGGCTGCTTTTGAGGTTTAGTTGTTGGTTGCTACTTCCCGTTAGGGAGTTCACCACTAGCAAGTCAGACTCTAGATTTGAGGCTTTCTCCGCCTCTGTTTCATTGGAGCTCAAATTTTCTTGTCATTTTAAGTGAGACTCGGATGTTGCTGTTGGGTGGAAGATGGCACGTTACTGGCATTCAGCTCAACAAAACCCCATAATTCCTTTGCTGGGAAACATGAAGTTTAATGTTACAGTAATTTCTACGTGATTCTTTGGAGTATGATTGTTAATTTTCACAGGTCTCTGCAGGAAGGACAAAATGCGAGGAGATTCAGAATGTTGTATGCTGACAAGAAGGACATCCTTGTTCCAGATATCTTTTGGGATTACACTAGTGGAAAAGTGTTGACGATGGAGTGGGTTGATGGAGTTAAACTGAACGAGCAAGATGCCATTGAGAGACAGGGTCTGAAGGTGTTGGATCTGGTGAATACAGGAATTCAGTGCAGCCTGAGGCAGCTACTTGAGTATGGATATTTTCATGCAGATCCTCATCCTGGCAATCTTTTGGCAACACCTGATGGAAAACTTGCTTTTCTTGATTTTGGAATGATGAGTGAAACCCCAGAAGAAGCAAGATCTGCTATTATTGGTCATGTTGTTCACATGGTCAATCGAGATTATGAAGCAATGGCC